AATGTTAAACAGAAATAAATTCAAATTAGCTTTATTGGCACGAATGTACAACAACAATATTGCCAAAGCATCATACAAACTACATAAATATAAACTATCATCAGTGGAGCAGTGCTGAGGATGAATTAGAGTTTAAGAGTCTGATAGCTTGGGGGGGAAAAAGCTGCTCTGCAATCTGGTGGTGTGGCAGCAGAAATTTCTATATCTCTTTCCAGAAGGCAGCAGGGTGAACAGGCTGTGGCTGGAGTGGGTACTGTCCTTTAGTATCCTTTGGGCATATGGTGTTGCATATGACTTTAATGACACACAATGAGACTAACGTAGGTAAGCATAGTGTCTTGTGTTGAACCAATAGACCATCTTCACACATGAATAGAGAGGTGAATAATAACCATATTTGGACACATTGTGAATCTCTGTAGGTCTAGGAAGGATAAATACTTCCTGTGAGGATGCATCCTTCAGATTTAGTTTGCTACTACACTGTGTTTACACTCTTTAATGCTGTTGCCAGTCTCTCTTGGTGGGCTCCAATATACAATGCTGTGTAAGTTGTCCTGAGATTCCTGACATCCTCTTCTTCAATAAGAAATAACACACTCATAAAAGTTATTTCCATAACAGTGTTTGTCTTGTATGTGTAAACATGCACTCACTGATGTCTTTCGTTGTTTCCAACCAGCCTACAACTACTCTGTGGAAAACCAGACGCTAACAGAAGCGCTGGACAAGCAGCAGAACGGCGTGCATCACATTTATTCCTCCATTGCAGGTAAATTGCAGGAATTGAGAGCCATACTTTGTTGATTCATTAATGTGATCCTTCCATGAACTCTCACAAGGAGGTTAAATATTAAAAAAAGGTGCCTCTGGAGCATGTGGCTGCTCAGACACTTTCTCAAGGACATAAGTTAAAGTTAAAGGCACTATTGTCTCATCTGATGCTCCACTTAAAGGGCCAACGCATTAGTAACTCATCCAACGTGTATAATCTTTATATGTTTTTCCCAAATAACTATAATATATATATAATAAAAATATTTTTTAATTCCTGCATAGAACTCTTGGTTGATCATCCAATGAAGAGCCACACACCTCCAGAGACAGAAGAACAAGGTACAAAAAAATGAGTGTTGAAACATGGTGTTAGAATGGAAATGTTAATTAAAATCAATCAGAGAGCAGTACCGTCTGTTTGTGTTGGATTACACTGATTTTAAAGTGCTGGAGAGAACGTGTGCCATGTCTGCTGCCAGTGTGATGCTGACCACTTGAAAGTCATTGTTTTGTCTGTAATGTCACATTAAAGATAAGCAGACGGTGTACATTTGCATGCACTTTAATATGCTGGTTTGAGGTTTGATCCTGGTTTTCATACTGGGGATATGATGTTAACATGGAACACAGTAGAATCATAACAGTGATATTAATAACCAGGTGTCTCTATTATCCAGGTTTGTGATCGTCTGCATCGATGCCTTAATAGTTGAGGATGAACTCCGTTTGGGTTCTGGCTGCCTGGACTGTGGCTGCATTTACCACTCTGGATTTAACTTAATCTTATCTTCATTAATGGAAGATGGGAGCAACAATACATTTTTTTATATTATAAATCTATATATTGTTAGACTTTAACTTTTATTTCAGCACGTACACCATCATTACATTGTTGATTAATCTTTTTTGCTTTAATGACTTACTAATACATGCCTTGATTTGAGGACACAGATGTGTGCATGGGAAAGAATGATCAGAAACCTGGATGATATTGTTTACATCCAGCTTGCATATCCAGGTTTCTCACAAATGGGATATGGATTTAGGGCTCCAGGTTTCTGAAAGCACAATATGGTGTTCACGAACACATAATTGGGACACTCCAAAAAAAACAATCATAATGGTGTGCATTTAAAACACAGATTGTTTTGCTGCTCAAAGTCAGAAAATATGATATTATGGGGGTCAGCAGGCAGATTTACTACACCAATACTGAGCATTAAGATTTCAAAATGAGACTATGTAACTTATGCTACACAGCAAACCAATATATACAGTATAATGATAAATATATGATAAAACATAACAGAAGTAAAAGATGAGTCAAAGTCAGCTAACTGGCAATAATTTTAGCTACAGAGCAATATATATTTAAAGCTAACTAAAATTAGCCACCGTAAGCTACTGGTCATACCAGACAGAGTCAGGTAGCAGCAGCAGAACCCCGTATTAAATTAAGTGTAGTGCTTTGATTAACTTTTCAAAGCTATGTGCTTTAAACAGATAGTATTTTTGTTATATTGAGATTCGGATGTAATCAACCAAAAATTCAGACAGGAATAGTAAAATGAGACACACAGGACATCTCAGAGGACACCACATCAGCTGAATCCCTTTTAAATCCAAGAACAGTCTTGCTAATTACCACTTTAATTTCCATGGGCATGTACTAGAAATTGAGGTAGCAGAAATATTGTGTATGTGAACCCAAATGGTCTGTCTCTCTCAGGAATTCTCATGTTGGATCTGGGCTCAGTGAGTCCTTTCCTTCGACTCTCTGCTGACTTCCAAACAGTAGAGAGAGTGAAAACCAAGCTGGACTATCCCAACAGTAACAGCCGCTTCAATAAAGCCCCGCAGGTCCTCTCCACCCAGTGCTTCTCCACTGGTACCCACATCTGGGTGGTGGAGGCTGAGGGATACTGGGACATCGCCGTGTCCTACAAGACCATCCAACGTAGGAGCAAGTTCAGCAGCGCCTTCGGAAACAACGCAGCGTCCTGGAGCCTTACCCACAATGGCAAAGGCAAGCTGTCTGCCTACCATAATAAAAGAAAAACTGCTCTCTGTGGGACCTTGCAGAGCGGCCGAATAGCAGTGATGGTTGATTTTAAGAAAGGCCACATTACATTCTGCGCTGTGGAGTCGACAATCACACATCTGCATGCATTCAAAGCTGAACTGACTCAGCCAGTGTGCCTTGGTTTGGGGCTTTACCGTGTGGATCCACCCAGTAGGGCCTCTATTGTCAAAGTTTTGTGAATAATCCTACAAACTGTCAAAATGTTCAGCCAACACTGGATACAGACTGCCTTAAATCATCTGTAATCGAGGAGAACTAAGGTTGACTTGCACTAAAAGTGGAGATGGGTCAGAGCAAAGACCTGACTAAGCCAAAGGTGAATAGAACATTTGGCCTAATAATAGATTTTAATACTGTATAGCAAGGTGTTTTAAGGTAAATACAGTATGTGTGGTTGATTTTCTCTCATTGTGGATCTTTATTTCAGTATAATGTAAATGTAACTGCAATATACACTGTTTATAAGGATGGGAGGGCTTTTTTTCAACAGAATGACATCATGCTATGAAAGACTAAAAAGGTTTTATTACATATTTCTCAATATTGAGGGCCTTCCAACATATGATAGTCTTACCACACCAACAATTAAAAAATTACCTCAATATTTCAAAAACAGGAAAAACTATATCCATATAATCTAATTCAAAACATCAAACATACAAATGTACATTACATAAATATAACTGTTCCTGTTTTTTTGAAGCAGGCACTTTAGTCTACATTTTGATTCTATGTGGAGTTAATAGAATTTGAGCTGAAAATAAGTGAGAAAGGAACTGAAAACAGTCTGAAGATGTAACTTTCGTTGCTTTAAGATGCCAAGCAAAAAGAGGAAAATTGATTTTGCTCATTTATTAAGAAAGCATCAAAGTCTAGGATTTTTAACAACTGGCAATGATCTGAACAGAATGTTTACATAAAAAATGAAGGCAATAATAAACCGACATGGCCAATGTAGTGCCGCAGTACAAAAACAAGGTAGAGACTGATACAAACTAAGTTTCTACTCAAACGAAGGCTTAGTGAAGAAATAAATGGAAATGTTTCTTTTTCAAATCAGACAGTGAGCAGTGTACAGTCATATCTCAAAATGCTGTGAAAAGGTTGAAATGTTGATCATTTCCTTGTTTTTTGAAAAACAGATTTTCCCCCCAGTTAACAAGTATGAACTGACCTGTGTGGGCTTTAGTAAAAATACCATTGTAATTAACTTAAATACTTAATTGTGCTGATTTTTACTCTAGCTGCCTTTTGAGTCCCATGATGCCTGACTAAAAGCTGTACACATAATAAAACATAACACCCACACTGCAGACATATCATTAGAAAGTCTGTGTACCAAAAATACTAACATGGAGTTGCGTCCTAATTTAGTGCCATTTAGCAATACTACTCGTTTATTGTCCTGAACAGCAACTGCCAAACCTACAGTACATGTACAAAACAATGAGGGGACTATGATAATGTGGTTAAATACATTTTTGACATTTCTGTATAGCACCAGATCTGCATCGGTCCTTCAACTATTAACACTCACTCTCAGTGAAAAACAAGCATTCTGTTAATGTGATTGGTAGTGGCTGCTCTTTATTTCACTGTTCCCATGGTCTGATTCCTGATCGAGCACCATGCCCTGAATATGTCTCTGAAAAACAGAAAATATTAAGTTCAGAAAAGTAACTTATGTCTGTTGGAAACAACAACTAAACACGTGCATGTTTCAAACCTCTACACACCTGCAGTGAGTGGCCACACATTCGTTGCTGCAGTATTCTTTGTCCCAGTCTTCACTCTCTACAACTGGGTTGTTACAGCCCACCCTCACACACACGCTCTTCGTAGTTGCGGCATCAGTGGACCCATTCACCTCCATCTCATCCTGAAAAAAAACAAGGAGAAAGGATGTGGAAAAGCATCAATAATATGGGTACCCGGTATTTTCTATATACTGATCTAGGCACAGTAGATGACATATTACACCACTGTCCTTTTGTCCATGTCGTCATATGACACAATGAAAGCTAAGGCGAGAATAAAAATAAATGTCGCCTATATAAAACATCACCTTCTTGGACAGATTGTTATTATAAGTGTCTGATAACATTATAGAAATGCTATTTATAAAGAAAGACCTATTTTAAAGAGTAAGATCATTGTCTGTTTAACCAGAAACCGCCACTTTATTGCTCTTGTCATAGCCACCAGACTCCATTAATAAAAATACTAATTTTACCCCTCTGGTGTACCGCTGCTTCAGTCGGTTAGTTTGTTTTTAACCCTTTAAAACACCAAAGTCACACAATAACACACAACACTACACAAAAACTGACTAACGGAGGCAGTGGTATCTCAGCAACTCCTGTGTTCTGCGAGGTAAAATTACTGTTTGATGGATTCTGGTGGCATTGAAGAGTGTTGTTTCTGGTTAAACAAAAAGGATCTTACGCTGTTAAAAAAGAAAAGACTCTTCTGCAGAGATCCTTTCCATAATGTTAGACATTAACAATCAGGCTAACAATCTGAACCTGTCAGTGGTAAAAACAAGAACTTAAGTGGACTTGAAACAGCCTTGTTTGGCTACTGCCAGCTGCAGAACCCTCAGTACTGGGCCAATTTCAAAAAATGTTGTCCCAACTATTCAGAAAACTTAAACATGGAGAAAGGGTTCAAGGTTGAAAAATACCAAAGCTACCCTTTGAGCTGCATTAATTTACAGGTGATGAGTGAAGAGCAATTTTCACTACCCCTGATGTCATGTGAACATGTTCAACTGTAGCTTTTCTATTTGCCACTCTGCTATAAAGGTGGTGAAACACCCAGGCAACAGTGTTTGTGAGCACAGCATCTTCCATCTCAGCCACAGAAACATGTAGCTACTTCAAAGTTGCCTTTAAACTGGTTGACGGTCTCACTCACTAGAGCTCTTCACACACAGACAGATGCATTTACAGCTGTAAATCCTTTCCATTTTTGGATGAATGAATTTAGAAAGATCTAGATAAATTTGTAGATTTCTTTTCTGAGTTTGATCTTAAAGATTTAGATACGATTAAAGATAGGTACGTGATAAGAAAACAACTAAATTACAGCTCTGATTAAATGCTGTAAACCAAACAAAGGTTGAGATTTATAGACACTAGCTGAGCATCTTCTGAGTTTGGCAGTTACTTTAAAACCTTGAACCAGTTAAATCTGATAGTAATGAATCGGTTGCTACAGCTTGTTGCTGTCTGAAGATGAATTATAATCCAGTTTTAAAGAACAAACAAACAATAGCAATGAATTAAGAAGAAAATTTACATCTTCTGAAGGGAGCACTTCTGTAACTTCATCCTCGTCTGTATTGCTTGGCGTATCAGTGGAGTTCACCACCTGCACGGACACCATGGGTGCAGATTGGGCAGATGTGGTCACTGTAGATGACACAGCTGCTGTATTAGGGACAATAATTGGCAGGGCCTCTTTGCCCTGCAATGAGGCAGGGACTATTTTTATCTGGAGTGGAGGTGGTGGTGTAGCCGTGATGGACACAGGAAGACCTGGCGTGGCGCTTCCCTCGCGGGGCTTGGCCTGTAAGGGGGGAGGTGCTGGCGCCATTTGCTGGAGCCGCGGTGGAAGCGGTGCGTTCTGCATCTGCTGCAGTGGAGGTGGCTGACGAGAGGCACCGGACACCACCAGTGTAGGCTGCAAAGTGCGGACCCCTCCGGGCAACACAGTCACCACCTGGCCCCCTGCCTGCAACATGTGCTTTGGGATTATGATCTTGGTGATGGTCTGGGCCGGGGGTACTGCAGCTGCTGGAGAGGAGGCTTTGTTTGCCCCCGTGCGGGAACGTGTGGTCCTCTCCGGAATGTCCAGGATGATGTTGGAGGCACAAATGTTGGTGATGGTGTTCTCTTCTAGGTTGTTGTTGTTAGCCAGGCGGATGGCGTGGTGAGCAGCAGAGGGAACGGCTGCTGGTGTCACGTTGACCACCGGTGGAGGAGGCGAAGGGGCTGTCTCCATCTCCTCAATGGCAGGCTGTGGTGAAGAAAGTTAAACATTTTGAAAAGCCCTATGAATGAAACGTCCCATACAGCAAGCAGGATCTTGCATGGTCTTACCTCTGAGAGCTGGTTGGCCCTATAAGCTGCCAGGGCTTTCAAATACTCCTTTTTGGCTGCTTCTGTCTTTCTCTTATACACCTAATGGAGACAAAACAAGTAATCCTGTTGTGAATAGATGCAATTGTCTGTACATTACCACCAACAATCATTGTTTTCTCCCCCAAGACTGGCATAGTCCCATTTTATACCATGCAAGCATGTGTTCTTATACCTGTTTCTGTTCCTCAGCCAGGCTGTCCCACATGGAGGCCACTATCTTTGATACCTCTCCAAAAGATGCATTGGGGTTCTGACCCTTAATGGCTGCCTGGGTGTCTCTGAAGAACAGGGCGTACGCTGAAACGGGCTTCTGGGGTTCATTTGGGTCTTTCTTCTTCCTCCCTTTCTTAGCGCCCACTGGTCCAGCCACTGGGGCCAGTGTGGCCGGCTTCCCCCCACCCCTCCTGGCTGTAGCCAGGGATACAACAGATGTAGTAACTGGGTGGGAGGACATTTGGGAGAGGGCAGACGGAGAGGAGAAAGCCATGGGGGAGTCTACCAGCACACTCCTCTGAGTAGAGAAAGGAAAAGTAGAACAGCATAGGACATATTAGAGGCAGAATCTAAAACACAGCATGAAATCCAAAATGCATTTATACGAGACTACACGAATGGTTTAACCCCTCACCTTGAAGTCATCCATGTCCTCATCCTGCAGGGAACCAGCTGGTGATGGTGTTGCAGACAGCGGCTGCTCAATTGTCTCTGAATGATGCCTAATGTTTTCACCTCCGAGACCCAGTGCCAGCTCAGACTGGTTAATGGTGGAAAGCTGACTGCTTCCCAAAAGACCATGACCGATGTCACCAAGTTGCACATCAATGGTCATGGGGGATGAACTGCTGAAATGTGAACCGCTGGAATTACCCAGTTCCTGTAGAGGGATTAGAAAGCAAAGGGTTGCAAACAACTCTTAATTGCATTCATGGACAACTATCATTTAAACACAGCAAACCGCATTCTGTGTGAGGGTCCACAGGTTGAGCACTCACCAGTGCAGAAGAGCTCAGCAGGGCTCCCCCTCCAGCCTGGCCCATTGCCCCAAGGTTCAGCTGCTCCAGGCCTTGAGACCCAGGGCTCACAAAGGTGGAAGCAAAGGAAGGATCATTGGCCTCGACCACCAGGTTGCTAACAAGACTACGGGAGCCTGAAGGTCCCCTGGTGCCATCTGACCCGTCCGTCAACTCAAAGTGGGCCACAGCATCGCTGATGCTCAGAGTCGGGTCTGGATCAAGGGAGATGGGGGGAATCTCAAAAACCTCATCCCCGAGGCTGGGAGTATGGAATGTCTGCTGTATGTGGAAGAGGATAAAGAAAAATGTGTCAGTCCTTATTGAACTGGGACACGTGTGGAAATATCAATACAATGGAGATGTATTACTCTGAACTGCAATGTTTTTTTTTAATTAACTCACAGACCTCAGCGGACAAAAAAGGGTGCCCCCCTCCACTGATGGTGAGGTAACTGTCGCTGCCTTCTGGAAACTGAAACAGACCGTTAGCATACAAGTAATATTCTGCATTTCCACACGTCAAAGCCGACCTGTAAAACACTGGTTAGCTTACCTTGTTTTCCTCGGAATATCCACCATATGCCTCGGTGTCCAAAAACTCCGAATCAACACTTTGAGCACAACCGTCCGACAGGTCAGAGTAAAAATTTAGGTCCATTTTAAAACGATTTTCTCTAAAATATATATAGGTAAGTTATATATTACACACGTTGCTTACTTTGTTGAAAAAACAAGCAAATGTCTTAATTCCCTACCCATTAAGATCAACGAACCCAAAAACTGATAGAGGCTAACGTTAGCTAGCTAGCTAGTCATTGCCGGTGGTTAGCATAACGTTCAGTTCGAGGAGATGATGTTAAGCTACCTTAGCTTTGAAGCCCATGGGGGCAATTTGAGGCTGTTCACTGCCAGATAATCATAATGTTGCCTAAATACTACTTAGAAGCTCCCCGAGGCTGAAATCGTACTAGAGGCCCAACACAAACCAATTCATATTGCTGGAGTGATGCTAACCCCCAAACCGAACGCATTAGGTAGTGTTACATTCAAGGGCTGTCGGATTATTTGCCTCTTGTACTTGAACCTATAACTTCCAGCCTGCTATGTGACTTGCTGCTGACACACGAGTATGGTGGATTTCTTAACCAAAGAAGGTAAAACTGGCATTTACAACCATTTTCAACAATTTGTTTGACCAACTGAAACTGCCGGTTATGCACTTGTTTCCACTATTTAGTCTGAAGCATAGTCATGTAGTCTAAAATTAAACATGTAGCGTATTCCATGTACGAGCGAACGAAAAGCCCTGAAGACAGCAGTGCTTCCCATTGGATCAACTTAAACCAATCGATTCGACCGTTCCGCTCTCTCAAATGGACGTTTGTGAGATAAACGAAATTGAGGCTTTACTTGCAATATATTACTTACCAATAACAAATAACTCACTTTTTGTTCAATGGTTAATGGCAGTTGGAATAGTTGAATGGGCAAAATGTTACTATATGTTTAAATAGAAAGCCAGCAGGTATGTGGTTGTAAAGTGAATGTTTATTAGATGTCAACAAATGAGTACCTCAAAATAGTAGCTGGGGTAGGCAACGTTGGAGAACTAACAACAGACCATATAAACAGATTTTTGAAAGTATCCAACTGAAAAAAAATCCCCTCCCTTCAAATCTCCCACCCCAAAACACATTTTCATGCGCAGAGAGTGCACGGGGAGCATGCCTGCAGGTAGGCAAGCCAATCATTTCATACGACCGACTGATTACAGTCCTGCAACAGCCACAGATACCGGCTTTATTTTAATTTTTGCCTCAGAGCCTTTGATGTATTGAATGCTGTCGGGAAGTAAAGACACTTTCAACAAATAACCAATAACTTCTGAAATAAATTGCCTACTTTTTTACTTTCCACCACTGCTCCCCATTATCAGATCTAATCTATTCACCTCTCCCAATCTTCTCATGCAAGAAGGGTAAAAGTTGTTCCCGGTGTTTAAAAACAGTGCTATTTTCTAAATTTGTCTATATTGTAAATCTACATAAATCTGCCAAACATCGGTGTCTATTAAATATCTTTTTTTTCCTTTCAAAAAGGTTGAGTTTAAATGTCTTTCAGATTGACTATATGAACGGTGCAACATCTACTCTAAATATTACGTGCGTTCAGATATGCGGACAGTCTTACCTCCATCGTCATTGTGTAATGAGGTACATAATTCCACTTCTGGCCGCTTTTAATATAGTATACAGGCGAAACTCGAAAATTAGCATATCGTGCAAAAGTTCATTTCCACCACATCCAAGTTGAGGCACTTTGCTACCAGGAGTTAAGCCTTTCAGGCAGCATGACCTTTTCTCAGGATGAGTGGTACCCAAACACCGCCTCGTTATAAAGGCCTGTCATGGCCAATCCTGTCTGGAATCACTAAGCTCATGTCCTGCCACCAATGTGTTTAAAAGCGTAGCCTTCTCTCATTTTTGTTGAAATGTTGGTATTCTTCACATTCTTAATTCTTGCAGCAAGTTTAGCAAGAGCAACGCCAATTTATTTATTTACTTTTACATCTCAGCTACCATGTCTCAAAAAAAGATCAATTTAAAAAAAAATAAATAGACAAAACAGTAAGGCAGGACATCTGCTCTAATTTTATTCTAAATAATCTGTATTACTGTTCCCATCTAGTACTTGTACTTGCATCCCTTTGCTCTGGGCCAGATGCTGGGGACTGAACCTCTGGTCCAGCTGATCTGTGTTGTTGTACTTCTGTTTATTCTCTTTTATTAATAAATTCTTCAAAGACAGCGGTTTGTTGTAACTCAATTATTTGCTTAATCCCTCACCAGCAATAGGTGATTTACATGACAGTACTATTAGGTACTTCATAGGTCTGAGGAATGCTGTGTATGTGGACATTACTGCCATCACTAACTTGTAGTTCATAATAAAGGGGAATAATTTAAGCTGCTGTACATTTTCCTCTGCTGTAATAAGGCACATACAAACCGCCTTACTGCTTCTGCTCAGCAAAAGTCACAATAATGCACACAAAGTTGCTTTCACTGTAGATTGCTGTTATTCATTTCACAGATACACTCAGATCATAAAACAAGAATAGTAACTCATTGCCGTCATCTTTGCACCATAGTACACAACTGACCAGCTCTACATTGTACAATACACCCATCCTCCTAGCACTGCTTCAGTAACTAATACGTCACTTTCCCCCTCCCACCCTCTCAACCCCCACCCCTCACACAGAGTGAAAACAATAACAGTACATCCACACAACGGATCCCCTTTTAGTTCACAGACTCGTCTGGATACAGGAGATATGACCAAACGAGTTCAAGGGATTGTGGGATCTGGATCCAGGCTCTGCTCGGTACACATGTCCAGTTTCATGTAGCGCTAGAGGACTGGCATTGAGGTTCTTAGATAAGAAAAGGGTATCTGTACAGCAGGGGTCCCCTTTTGGTCATGACTGGGAATGTGATGGGAAAGAATAGGTTTTGGAGGAAGAGGAGAATGACGAGTCATGAAGTAAGAAAGCTCAGCTTTTTTGCCATTTTGTCAGGAGGTTAGAGAGGAGGATCGAGGAGACAAAGATGGAACCACAATTGTGATGATGAAAAAGAAAACAGATGGGTGCAAACCTGCTCTTTATGGAAAAAAATCTCTATATAAAATAAATGAATAAAAGTAACAACAAAAAACATTCATTCATAAGTTGATCATAATATGGTAAAAATAAATGAGGAATAACATGATTCATTGTTGAAAAGGGGACTAAGTCAGATGTTTTAGGAGAGGGGGGTTCAGTCAATCCTCTGAGCTTGATGAGGAATCAGAGTCCTTCTGTGCTATGATGACATCGTCCAATAGCGCCTCTTGATCTGAGCTGTCATAGTCACCTTGGGAAAGGCTGTCGCCGCCCTCCATTTTAACGTCAAAGTCTGGACTGGTGAGGAAGTGATGGGAGGTCTCTAGGTCCTCCTCATCCATCATGTAGGCTCCATCTGAGACCAGAGTCTCCTCTTCAACTCCGTCCAGGTTGGGGTCTTCGTGGCTGGCCTCTGCAGTGTGGTGATGGTGGTGGTGGTGGTGATGACGGCGTCTGCTTTTCTTCGGGATCTCTGAGTGCTCGGTCAGCAGTCGGTGGTGAAGGGTCTCAGGCAGGAAGCCCTGTCAGAAGAATAAATATTATCAGACACATTAGAAAGTCTATTATGGAAAAAAAAAAAAAAGTTGTGGGCGATGTGTTTTCACAGCATATCCCTTCTGATACTGTTGTAAACTGTACCACGATCATAAAGAGTCAAATTTACTAAACAGAGTAGAAAAATCCTTTTTAAAAGACAGCTGAAATAGTAAAGTCACATTTATAAACATGGCATTGTAATACTATAATAGCTTGTGTACGTACAGAATTACGAATAGTTTCAGACCACTCGGGTGCTACAGCGTTATCAGGATTCTCCTCCAGATATTCCCTTAGGTCTTGCAGATTCGGACAACAAGCAGCTCCAACCTACACAGCAAACACATTTGGACGTCTGTCTTTTAGCAAGAGAAAACACACAGCCAACAAATCAAGCGTATGATACAAATTACTGTATGTCTCACCTTCTTTCCTGTCCTCATGTTAATGACTTTGACCTTCTCACTGCCTGTCAGGGCTTTATCTGCCCTCCTCCTTCTCTTCCTCTTACTCCTGTTCACAAGAAGCTGAGGAAATGCAACAAATTATGTAATAAAGCAGAAACATATTCTAGACATTTGAAATGACACTTGATGAACAGTTGGTGCAATTGCATAACTGAGAAGTGTCACGAATGTACCTCCAGCATGTCTCCCTCCACCTCATAGTCTGGGTTCTCCTTCAACCAGGTGGGAGGGTCCCTGCGCCGAGGAGTACGCTCCAGTGGATCATGGAGTCCATCGGGGTCGGATAACTAAGAGAGACAGACAATTAAAAAACTTGGCAAATCTAAAGCAGTCCTTCCATCCAACGCTTCCTCCACTACAGGGGAAGGGGATGTAAACCAGATGCATGTACCTCTTGATCCTTACGCCTTTTGCGGCCGCTGCTCTCCCCCCCCAGACCCATTGGGCATCAGGGCCTGCTTAGAGAAGGTCAGCTTCAGTCCCTCCTCCTGACAGGGTGACAGACAGAGGTGCCTCTAATTTAGCCATGAACAACACATCTACATAATTTCTGGTGTTGATTTTCAACAATGAATGAAATTATTTTGACAGACCTTTAAAAAAACCTCTCATATTGGTGAAAAGAATGGGTGAAAGAATTTTAGTCGCAAAAACAGGAGAATGTTTTCATCGTCCACTGCATTCTCACCTTGAGGAGCTTGACAGTGAACTCTCCATCATCTCCATCTGCCCCAGGGCCACCAGGCGTGCCGCTGGGTTTACGGATGACCCTTGTGTAGGCCATCTCTTCTCCCGCCAGCTCTGAGCTTGGGTTTAGCTGAGCCTCAGACACGTAGCGTCGCCCCGAGGGCCACTGACCAGTTAGCACCAGCGTACACAAACTATCCAGACGGTTGATCAGCACACGGTCCTGAGACAACGAAGGAGCCCCATGTATGTATCAGTCATTCACAACAAGAAAATAAACACGAAGTTTGTTCCTCCAAGAGAAATGCTTTACATTTGATTTACATTTAGTAAACTGTACATAAGTTACCTTGGGCCAATCAACTCTGAGAGGATCAGGAGGAGGAATGCCATCCTGAGATGGAGTCATGGAGAGTAAACTATTATCTTCATCCCCGTCACACAGCTTCATGCCTGCTAAAAAGGGAAAATAATTCAATTGGTTGTCTTCATTCTTGCAGAATTAAATATTTTTCTCTAAAGACCAACTTACCTCCTTCCACCTCTTCCTCACTCTCTCCACTTTCATCACTGCTTCCTGATCGCTCAGAGGACGATGAACCCGAATCAGAATCAGAATCAGAATCTGACCCTCCCTCTCCCTTCCTTTCTCCTCCTGTTTTTCCAACCCTCCCCCTGCTTCTCTTTAAGCTCCAGCCCTGCCCTCGTGCCTTGCCGTCATGGTGACTCAAGGGCGTACTCTGCAGGTTGGCGATGATTTCACCTCCAAGCAACCGGGCATTGTCTTCAGCCACCTCCTCCTTTACACCAGGCACCTCCTCCTCAGTCTTCGGCTGGCTGAGGGGCATGACGGGCATTGCCTGAGGTGGAGGTGGAGGGGGCGGGGCCAGCTGGTTCTGTATGAACTCATCCCGAGCCTGACTGAAGGTGAACTGTGGGTCTGAGAAGATGGACAGCTCAGTGCGGCTGACACCGTGCAGTGCAGCGCCCAGCATCAGCTGACGATCGTGTTCTCGTATATTCCACCACGCTGGCAGCTCAGAGGAGGGTGGAGCAAGAAGCAGACGCTCCTCCAGGGAGGGGTGGGGCAGTACTCGCTCACGGAGGCGACGCAGGAGGCTAATACGGTAAAGGGTACGGGAAGCACGCTCCTCAGTGATGGGGGCAACGGTCTGGGAAAGCTCTGATGCATCTGAGTGGGATGAGAGTAGAGACATTTACTGTTATGTGACTGTAAACTCAACAAGTTCTGCTTTTATCCAACTGCCAAAAAAGGATAACTGTAAACTAACATATCATGCTTGGATTTATCATAAATGGCCTGTGCATAAAGACTGGAGTCACTAGATGTGGTTTAAATCACAGAAAGAGGTCAATACTGTGGCCCATTAATTACATAGTGTTGCACTGAACATGGTGAGCCCACACTTTAACTGCTGCAAGTAGCTAAGTTGAGTCTATTTTAACAGCATGTGTGGCAGAAGTTACCTTCACTGCGACCTGGGCGCAGGTGGCAAACTCTCCGGCACATGGCAACAAAAGAGCGGAAGTATCGACTGAGGCTCTCATCTGTTTTTTTATCCAGACGAGCGAAGGTACGGAAGCGGTTCCAGTCAAAATCAGGTTCTCCGACCTCGGGTAGACCTGCCTCCTTTTTTATCTTTTCCACACCAAAAGTAGATACCACACGGTAAAAGTCACATTCTTCCCTACGTGTCCACCTGGGAGGAAGACAGAAGGCAAGTGAAGGATGGTTAAAAAAGTTTGTATGTTTGTATCCACTTAAAAATTATGTTTTACGTCTTCATTGACACTATGGTGGCATGCTAAGTTACTTTACTTTCACTCCACTAATTGTAACAACCTTTACAAAAAGGTGCAAGCCCAAACATCTTAAAGTTAACCTGTGGAGCACACACACACACCTTTGGTGTGGGAGACCTGGGTTTCCTTCCCACTGTGACATGACCTGTGTGTCCCAGAGCAACACACTTAACCCCTAGTTGCAATACAGCAATTGTAAGTCCATTTGGTTAAAAGCGTCAGCTAAATGACTCATGACTATGATCTACTGGGGACTGTAATATGGCAAGATATGCAGCAATGTGCCAACAAAGGCATGGAAATCAAAAGACTGCTTGCTAGTTAACATGAATAAACAGGTTTGAAATTTGAGAAAAATTGGCTTTGCAAATGTTTTGAGGAAGGACAAGCATTCATCATGTTTATGATGTTAGACCTCAAGAATACTAAATGCATTTTGGGAAGTGACACTCAATGTAAACATAACTTTTGTTTATTTACAAGAAACAAAAACTCCACTGGGCACCTTTAAGTCCCATGGACAAATATAAGATGTGAACATTATGTATATAACAGAACAGAGCAGGAAATAACCACAATTCATAGCCTGAATTAACAAATTAAAGCCAACATTACCATGACTGCTGCGCACTCCTACAAAAGTAAAAGAATTCATACAATAATTATGCTGTGGAAAACTTTTTACAATTATACTCTAAAATAGTCAGTATTCCTGAGCCTCTGGAGACAGAAAACAATGTAACACCAGTGTACCTCTGCTGGCGCTCCTGTCGCGCAATCTCCTTCAGCTTGCTGGCCTGTTCGCACCGCCTGCGCCTGCGGTCACCCTTAGCCTCTGCTTCGATTTTCAGCTGCTCCTGCCTGTAGCTGCGCTGGTAAGCTGTGATCAGACGCCGCAGCCGTGCTGTTAGTGATGAGCTGGAAGGCCAGTCACAAGGACCGCTGTGACTGGAAAGGCTTTCTGCGATCACTGGCCCCACCTTGTCTTCCACAGAAATCTCATCGTCCACGTTCATGGAGTCAGGCTGGAGGGCAAGGTCAAATAGAGACTCATTAAAATGTTTATCACTATTGATCATTTCCAAAATATTCTACCAAATCTTTGCAAATTAACTACTGCAGACAGAACCACTTCAATGTCATCATGGCTCAGATTTGTACCTCCTCAAAAAGATCTTTGGCGTGTCTTGACGCAGGCTTGAACTCTGGGTCCTCTGAATACTTATCATAGTCAGCACTGTACAACACAAACAATAAAGCAACATTAAGCAGGAAAAGGGTGAGACATGTCCAGTCTAGGGGCAACCCTTTCCAATACATAAGGCCGACCATTTAGTTATTATTGACGGGGAACTTGAAAACATTTTCTAATTTATGTCAGTTTCAATGTCTGCTATAAATCTATAGGCAAATAAGGTTTAATTCACTTACTCGTCTCCCATCTCGGCATCACCAGTGTGCTGCTCGGCATCAATGGCCTTGTCATCAGGCCGACCAGCTCTTTCCAGGAAACAGAGGCAGGGATCGGCACGCATAGTGGTGTACATCTCATAACCTGATGATAATGTCAAGGTTGTTAAATGACAGAAATAAAAAAAAAAAAATGCTTGGCTGAGAAAATGTAGAAAGCAAATGCGACAAGTTCCAGATCTGAGGCAAGTGGAGCAGCTTTACACATGTTACAATTATGGTTGTTACTTATTATGGACCATCACTGAGCAAGATGCAATTTTGTATTTAATGCATAATAAATCTTCCCCCTATTCTTATAAATGTTATGAGCATATACAGAGAGAACACCTACCATGTTTGAATACACCCGCAAGCAGTGAGCGATCTGCCTCACCATCCCACCATCCTGCAGGCACCTCCTGCTGCTCCATCTCAGGCATCCAGATATCAACATCCCTGGTGAATAAAAAGAGAATGCATACTGAGTTCAGGTGTATGACTGTGAACCTCAGTAGTGTGTGTGTGTGTGTGTGTGTCTTTGGCTTAATGTACAAAGTCAGTATTAGATACCTGATGTCAGCCCCCTTCAGGACAGAGTCCGCATGTTCTCCAATCACCTCCTGTTTCAGGTAGTAGAGCATACGCACCCTCAGCAGCACCCTGAGAGAGGGGAGAGGTTTTAGGTGTTTGGGTAACAATACTTTCACGTGAACACACGCAGCAAAATACACTTAATTGGGCTTTACTCACTTGTTGCACTGGTGCTTGAGGTGTTTGCGGTAGCTGTCATCCAGAAGCAGGGTGTCAGGGTTGTACTTGCGGATCCACTCCACCTTCTGAACATCAAATGTGCTCTGGGCCTTTACCCTCTTACCCTTCCTGCCCCTTGGAACAGGGATAGACAAGCCTAAGCAGGGGAAAACACAGTTAATAAACATTTCAATAATAGATATTTTAACAGACAACATAAAACAAGGAAACGTCTTCACTTATCCACTTTTTCAGTCTGTGAGATGTGAGTAAATCTGTGTGTAGCTCTTACCAGAGTGGTTGAGAAGTGTTTGTGGTTCACGCCCGTTCTCTGGCGGCGTGATGAGCTCCCAGATGAAACTCTTGATATTCTCATCTCCACGGTAGTGGAGCAGACAAAAAACCAGGATGACACGGCAGATAGTCTCCACGTCGCGTTCACTCAGACGACGCTTACATCTGGCATGGGATAAGATGTCCCGCCAGCGACCCCAACTGGAGAAGAAGAAAAGAGGTAATAGTGTGAGAACAAGGCACAAGAGTATAACTTGACAAAGTGAAAGTTTTATCTAGCATATAAAACCATAAGCAAAGTCTATGTACCCATAGACAAGCAGATGTTTCTCCACCCTGAAGCAGTCAGTGCGACCATAGCCCCCTCCACTGTGGCGGTCGGAGCGTCGAGAGGCACGGGACTGTCTGGAATTGGCAGGTGGATACTCATCGTCGCTGTCCATGTCAGAAAGTTCTCCACCTTCACCTCGTAAACTGGAGTACTGCCGAGTCTGTTTGCGGACTCTGGGAGTGTCGATTACGAGGGTGTTCTGTAGGGGAAGAAGTAACCTTTACTCAATTACATGTTACGCCAAACAATATAAAAGCATTTAATATACAAGGCCACATACAAGAATACAACTATATAATATAGTAGTGAAACGCTGTGACAAATAGCACCAAAAGGCATAGGAGGAGCTTGCACTTACCTTTCGGTTTAGGGTGTCCATGTCTATGTCGGCTTTCTTGGCCCATTTCTGCCAAAATTCGGGGTCATCAAGTGCAATGTCATTGCGGTTCTCAGAGGCCACAAAGCTGGCCTTGGAGAACGTCGAGCCTTTGCCCTCGCTCTCTATGGTGATGGTAGTGGCTCTTCTCTGGAGGATCTGATCAATGTCCTCCTCGCAGAAGCGACTGCCTTCATCACTCTCATCCATGATAGCAGCATAGGCTCCCTTCCTCAGCAGGTCCTCAATCTCCTTCTTGGAGAACTGCTGGATCTGGTAAAGGCGACGCAGAAAGAAATTTACACAAGTCAAGACAACTCATTTTTCAAAAGAAACAAGACATAATAGAGCTGAATAACCTACAAATGATCTGGCCAAGTTTGTTAATGACAGGTATTTCTCCTCACCCCATTGACATTGCTGTCTTTGTTACCACTCATACTCTGCAGGACGGCCCGGTCTAGGCCAAGCTTCAGACTTGCTTTATCCAACATCTCCCTCTCATAGGAGTTCCTAGTGATCAGACGGTAGACCTTGACCGCCTTAGACTGGCCAATACGATGACATCGTGCTTGTGCCTAGAGAGAAGAATAAAAGAACGGTCAAAATAGCATCATATGCAGCAGCTGATAAAAATGAGAATGGTTAGTAACATTATGAACATAAACCACAAAAACACACATGTAAAACAGTCTGTGAACAAAGAAATAAATCTAAAGATAGATTGTGGTTCTTGCTGTCCCACTGAACTAACTTTATACCAGTACAGTACAGCAAAATCTTGTACCTGAAGGTCATTTTGAGGGTTCCAGTCAGAGTCAAAAATAACACATGTGTCAGCAGCAGTGAGGTTAATACCCAGGCCGCCAGCACGGGTACACAGCAGGAAGACAAAGCGATCTGAGTCAGGCTTGCTGAAGCGATCGATGGCAGCCTGTCGCAAGTTCCCTCGCACTCTGCCATCAATTCGCTCATAAAGGTATCTATAAAAAAAATAAGTTAACATACCCTAACATTAACACATCACAAAATTCCTCAAAATACTTTGAACAGTTTTGAAAATCATCACATGCATTTAAATACACAGTGACCCTCTTACCTCTTGTTGATGAGGTAGTCCTCCAGAATATCTAAGCAGCGCACCATCTGGGAGAAGATGAGCACTTTGTGGCCACCAGCCTTGAGGCGGGGCAGCAGCTTGTCCAGTAGCACCAGCTTGCCAGCAGACCGAATCAGGGCCTGCAAATGGAAGTCGGGAGCCAGGGGGTCATACACCTCCCGTAACTCCGCTACGATCTTCTCCTCCGCGCCTGGACAAGAGAGAGATAAAATTATACTATGCTATCCAATTATGCTGGCTTTTCACAAGTGGAATATTTGCTAATCAAATCCTTCATCATCAATTTGGGTAAGTCACGAGTTGTCACGCTGAATGTTAACAAAAACAAAAGACCAATGCATTACATTTGAATTACCCTGAATAATCCATCACTTTGCAACAACTTTAGCCTTTGTTTTCCGCCAGAATGAGTGATAGCCGTTCTACGTATGGTATATTGGTATGTTATTATGGTTTTGGTATATTATATTATGAAGTGACCTATAAAGCTGATCTCTCAGCACTGTCTAAACCTGCAGCAAGTGCAGCTCAGACTGCATATCGTGTGTAGGCAGCTTCAGGGAAACATTCCACCTCTGATTTAACAAAACGGCACCAGATGAATACACACTTAAATGACTAGTGGTACAATGACTAGTGTTTATCAACCACAATGTTAATAATTGAATAATAATAATTGGACTTGTGTTTCAAATGATTATACAGTCAATACGACATAATTCAGGTCAGTTATTATTGGAAAGTGATATACAGCTGTATGTTTTTGAGCCTGAATAAAACAAATATACAGCTGGCAGCTGTTAATCAATCAAAATCAGCGAAGAGGATTAATTTAAACTCATCAACCCTGTGTGCAGAAAAGTTAATAGTGTGATGCAATACCATTGATGAGGTAGGGGTGGTTGCAGCACTTGCGTAGCTCCATCATCGTGTTGAGCAGGTTGGGGACATTGCTGTTACTGTTTGCCCCTAAACTGAGGAAACTGAAGTTTCTCTCTAGGATGGCCCGATAGTACTTCTTCTGGACATCCGTCAACTCAACCTGAGAGAAAACGCAGTCAGTGAATGAAATTGTTGCATTATTTGTGTCATTCAGATCATTTAACACAGCACAGATTTTTAACAAATGTGTTCTATTAACCTCAATGATGGTCTCCTGTTTAGGTGCCAAGTTCTTCTCAACATCCTCTTTGAGCCTTCGTAACATCATGGGTTTCAAGATGGCCTGCAGCTTCTGAACCTGTGGACCCAAAATTAAAATATATGAATTTGCTCAGCGATGTCTAGACAATACCAGTAAGACAAAGAACATTGATAGATGTGTGTTGCCAACATAAGTGTACATTTCACACCTGTTCCTCTGTTTTGAGGTCTCCAAAGTCTCTGAGGAATTCAGTCTCTGAAGGGAACTGAGCAGGCTCGAGGAAATGAAGCAGACTGAAGAGTTCCTCCACAGTGTTCTGGAGAGGAGTGCCGGTCAACAACACCTTGTGTTCCTGGGAGAAACCACAGAACACAAATAGAACATAGGTAGAGAAGGATGGAGGGAGGAGAGGCAGTGGAGGAAGAATGCAGAGTTAGGGGTGAGTATGCTTGTAGTGAGTGCATTTAGGAAAAGCAACATTTTAATCAAATTCAAACTGCACATTTAAGACTCTTGGCCCAGCAGACATTCTCTTTGCACGTTTGACCATTGGTTTTGTTTGAAATCCACGTCCGGCTGTCGTCAACTTACCACATCCAGCATCTTCAAACTGTCCAACAGCTTGCAGTTGCGATTCTTCAGGCGGTGAGCCTCATCAATGATCACACAACGCCAGGAGATTTCCCTCAGCTCTGGGCAGTCAGATAACACCATCTCAAAGGTTGTGATGAGGGCGTCAAACTTGTATGCACCTGGGATCAAATGCTCCTGTTGGCAGAATGACAATTTTCATTAGACACATTTAACATCAGTGAAGTTGATCAACAACAGTCTGAATCAATAACTCCACCTTGTCATCCTTGCAGTACATCTCATACTGCTGGATCATCTGTCGGCTGGCCAGGCTGCCGTGGTAGACAATGGCGTTCATGTGGGTCCATGTGGAAAACTCTCTTTCCCAGTTTGTTATGGTGGAGAGAGGCGCAATGACCAGGAAAGGGCCTTGGATTCCAGCAGCGTAAATCTCAGAGAGAAGTGCAATAGACTGGATGGTCTTTCCCAGACCCATCTCATCTGCCAGAATACAGTTCTGCCTGAGAGACAAGAAACAGGGAGTAATTAGTGAAGCCTCGGGGGAAATTAACAAGCATCATTCCAAATGGACTAACTTTTTCCAGAATATTAAGGACACAATGCCTACGTCATGTTGGCCCTTCATTTTATGCTCTACTACAATCCTAATTCTCAAATTACTATTTTAATTACAGCACCTTATCCAGTAAAATGAATCCAGTGCGACTGCGACTTCAAAATGCACTTTGTTTACATGTGACCATGGAGTGTAGTATGTGCCTGCACGTGATAAATACCTGTTGTACCAGTTGAAGAGCAGCCAGTTGACTCCTTCAAGCTGGTACTCTCGGAGTGTGTTGCCGTTTGTGTACTCTCTCGACTCCTCCAACTTCTTCCATGAACTGGCAGACGGCCGTGGCTGAGGGGAAAGAAGAAAAGAATTGATGAAATAAAGAGAAGGCAGGATAACGCGATAAAGACCTCTATGCTTGTCATATTACGCAGCTTTCTAACATATGTAACCAAGTTATTGTTTATCCATCTTTCCTAAGCTGGAAGGAAGGAAGGAAGAAATAGAATTTTCTTCCACGTCTCCAGGTTGTGCCACTGGACGGATCTCGAGTATCTCAGGTTCAAATCAATAAATGGTTGAGTCTGTTGCATCTCCAGTGTTTGAATCCGTATGTGTCAACGGGGGCAGTGTGGTCATTTTGTCATTTTAAGTAATGTATTATCTCTGTCTAACTGTCCATCTTGTGATAGAATTTTTTAAACATTATTTTGTTGTCATTTTGTTTTGGATGGACAGTTCATAAAAACAATGATGGGTCAAATCACGACAGAAGGGGATGACAGAGCTACAGGGGACTTTCAGTAGAAACACAAGTATGTACTGCAGCATCATTTTTGTATTCTAAAGATGTTTTTCCATCCTTCATCGTATCTTTTCTTTATTGAGGCACCATGTTTTCCACTTGAGCAAAATGTAAAACCTTTGCCTTTTACCTCACAGTTATTTGTCACGAGAAAATTCAGGATGTGCATTAAAACTGCTCCTGGCTTTCTATCTGCTTGACAGCTCACCGTTCTCTTCAGGCGAGGTTGTCGGTTTTGGATTTTGCTGAACTCTTCGACCTTGCCCTCATCCACGTCCTCCTTCAGTTCCCAAGTGGCGTCTTCATAAGGTAGAGAGCACCACTTCACCAAGTAGTAGATAACAGGCTAGAGGGGAAAAAGAGTGAAAGCAAGTACTTAACTATTGCAAACATGCTACTACTTTATAAAAAGAAGAAAGGGTCCAATTTCTGAAAGAGGAGCAAAAGAGTTCATCTACACAGTCAAGAGATGAACAGATAATCTCTTTTTCCCAGCTGTGAAAGTCAATTCTTGACAAGGCCTTGGGTCTCACCTCGCCATTGTCCTTGTCCACACTGTGGGAAACGTCAAGGATCCTGTCCACCTCTACATAGTCTGGGTTAAAAGACTCCTCATCCTAAAGAGAGCCACAGAATCAGACAGTAAAAATACATACAACGTTACAGTTCAAGCAACTGATCTACATCCCAAAATAAGAGGTTTCCACATGTGCTTCCTTCTCACCTCCTGGAAAATGTGCCTCATCTGTGCATGCTTGGTCTTGAACCTCTTGATCTTCTGATGGATCCTCTTATCTCGCTCCAGCTGCTCCATAGTTGCCCACTCACAGTGCAAGTATGAACTGGGAACAAGAGAGTCAAGTTTTCCTCATTTGGATGTCTCCTCAAGCAACAAAATATGTCAAGTGCCAAGGCCAAACTTATTCATTGAAACTTACTAGTTCTTGTATTTCACAAAGAATTCCTCAACATTGATATACTGGCCCGGTGAAACCTTTAAGACAAGACAAGACAAGACAAGAACAGGTTTTGGGGTTTTTTGATTTTCAAAATTAGATTAAATTAATTAAACAAATTGTAGAGGAATTTAATAAAAAAAGGACATCAACATACTTCCTTCTTCATTACCCTCATAGACAGAACTTTGTCTACAATTGCAGCATCTTCCTCACTTGGGTTTTCCTGTAAAATTTTCACATTCAACACTGTAAATACACATTATGTATAAATATCTCAATCATCAGTGTCCATTCTCTTTATAAGGATCCTTTCCATTTCACCAGAGAAGAAATGTAACACTGCTTTGTTACAACAGTTCCACGCTCACCACAAAGAACTGCATGCTAGGTTGTCCGTCAACATCCAGCTCCATTTCCTGTTTAAGCTGCGCTGCTGTCCCGCCACTGATTGAGGCCACAGCCGCCGCGGTTGTAGTAACGTCTACATCTTCCTGCTCATCCTCATCATCTGTTATCTTGATATCCAGGTCCTCTGTGTACTTCTTCCTCTTCACCACACGATTGGAGCGCCTCTTCTGGCCAGAGGGCAGAGTTGGAAGTTTAGTGTTGTTTGAAAAAGGTCAAGCAAAAACTTCAAACAGATGAAAACAGAAATTGACATGGGCACATACCACACACACAAAAAAACAAAAAAAAAGCATTATTGGTACATTTTGTTGATCTGCCCTACCTAAAACAGGTTTCACAACAAACCAGTTTCGTCATTTTAGACCAAATCAACCGTCAGAATGTATAAAATACAGTCCATTTGAACTCTCCCACAAGAACCACTAAATAACTGCGAGCAGGACGAGCACCACTTGATGTAGGGTCGTGGGTCATTCACATTAGCTGACCATTAATCTACATATTAACATTGACAAGTGTGACATTTTGGCTTTTTGTATCATACATGCTTTTTTAGCATGTGGCTGAAATTAAATGGGCATGTGCCGACCCTCTCACGGCCAGACAATAAGACTCCACTGTGACCCCGCTGCTGCGCATTGGCCTGTGTAGGACAAGGATAAAACCAGAAAACAGTCCACAAAACCTTCTTCCTCCATTATGTTTGTTGACCTAAAAATCTTTTGGGCTTTGCAAAGTACAAACAGAAGTAAAGTACAGCTATGCAAAAACATTGAAGCTTCTCGTGTTTTAACAAAAATGAGCTTTAATGACACTTTACTTGCTGGATTTCTTAGCTTTTAGTGGCTGTGTTACTATTATGATTAGGGGGAGATTTCCAGAAGTTCACTGATCTCATTTATGTGACCATGTACGTGTTTGTACCATTATTAAGTCATCCTCCAGCGCAGCAGGTGAGGCAGGGCTCAATTCCCCGTCAGAGTGGTCTGAAGACACATTTCTCTTTCTTTTCTTTGC